TGTAGATCAAATTTGCTTTTTCTTTGATGATCACAGTCATTGCACTTACCTGCTTTCATACAGGGTTTGGTAGGCAGCAATAGTCATTCTGATCTCATCACGCACTCTGCAGGTAACAAAGTAGACATGGTTTATTAATTGAATAAAAGCTGATAGTTTCTAAAGAAACTGTTTGGGGCTGCGTCAGTGGGGGTAACGAAACAATTTCAATATAATCAACAAAGTTGAAATGGTAAATTGGCCATCGTTACGATTATAAAAGCTGACGTTTCAACCGTTAGCCCTTCGTCGATGAAGGGGTAACACTCAAAACGTCAGCTTTTAAAATCGTAACAGTGGCCAATTTACCATTTCAACTTTGTTGATATATTCAAATTATATGGTTTATTAATTGCTTGTCAAAGCAAGTTCATGTTAAGCATTCCTACAGCATAAATAATGATAAATTTGCAGATAATCCTTTTGGTCTTCCCCTGCATTTAGAAGACCATGTGCTTCTGACTAATAGAGCACAAATTATTAAGATACAAAGTCAGTCCTGTTTCAAGTTTGAACACTATACCTGAGCAACAGAAGACCACGTTCAGCACAATTAATTGTCACTTGACGAATCAATTCATCTAAAATACATTGAGGGATAAATTATCATTAATAACCCATCAACACCTACGTGTAACACATGCATGCACAATGTCAAAATTTTATCTGAATTGTTTGACATCTTATGGCTGAACACCTTAAAACAAATTTGATGCTGTTACTTTATCTTTATATTTACCAAGGTTCATTTTTAATCATCATTTTAACTCACCAAAACACTGTGAGTAAAGTTCTCTCCTAACTGGGCAGATTCCCGTCTCTCTCGCTTGTCGCTGTTGAAGACGCATGTCCAGTTGCTCCTAGAAAATAACAAAAGAACATTGCAACTCACCTAATTCAGTAAAAAATACAATTAACATGTACAAAATTTAAAAAAAATAACATATTTAACTCTTTGACTTATTCTTCAAGAACTCAGGGAGAGGAAATTAAAGAGAATTCCCTCAATTTCAACATTTCCCTCACTTCCACTGATTAACCCTGATACCCTCACATCAATATGCAAATTCTCCATACCCTTCTCAACACATTTTGTATGGTTTTGACAAGGAGAATTTATCTATCAATCATGAGCTTCCTACTTTGGTGATCACTGCCTTTATTCTTTTGAGCTAAATGTCTGATTCAACTGGAATAGTGTAAAGAGAAATTAGATGTTGGTCAGTCTGAGGCTAGAGTTTATTTAGTTTATTAGCTTCGCTGACCGGCAGAGACACCGCAACAGCTTGTGCCAATTACTGTGGGCCCAGTAAATCCACCCATCCAACCCAGGGGAGAACATCCATCACACAGTAATCTCATGCGTGGGAAATTAACGTCTCCTACCC